ATGGTTAAAAGAATTCAAACTTCTTAAAACCTACTACCACATCAAAACTAAGAGTTCTATAGCTTTTTTTCTTTGTTTCCTCTGAGTCTCAGAATCAAAATTTCAGAAGCATGAAAAACTTTTTCAACAATCCATTTAGTTTTTCAGATCCTCAGTGTTTCCTCTGAGATCTTTCAGAGAAAGGAAGTCACAGACTGACAAACCAAAAGGATGTCCTTTGAAAGATAAACAGCCCTCTGCCTCTTGAGATGAATCTGATGTAGGACTGAGCTACAGGTGATTCTGAGCAAGGTGAGTTTGTCTCTGAAAAGCAGTACTGTTTCTGGAAACCATGCCATCTCGACCCCAAGTGCTTCCCAATACAGAGTTCTACTAAGACACACCATCTCCTTTTTGTTATAGAAGTGAAACCACCAATACCCTGACAGAAGGAAAGAAGCTTCAATATCCCCTTATGTAGGATCAGGTCCATGCCCCCAAAACAAGACACTCTGGGTTTCTGGAAGTGCCTTTGGCTCAGCATTCCAAAGCACCCATTGTCCTTTTCTCTCAGCTGTTTATTCCCATTGGCAAAGCTGATGTGATAACAACTGCCTTCAACAACAGAGATAATGAGAGACAAGCACTCTGGTAGGAAATAGAGCAAAACCAAAAGCACTGAAGGCATACAAAATCTAGAACTCTCTTGACCTCTCCAGTGTAGAGGCATAACTGAAAGGAGGGCAGCCATCAGTTCTGCCCTGGCAATCCCAAATTGTAAAGTCTGAGGGTTGATCATCATTCTTTTTTTTTTTTTTTAATTTTTAAGAATACAAAACATTATTTCTTCTGTGGGATGCAAACTTTTTTACTTGGGATGGCAAGAACTATGGAGGAAAAAAAGCCTCAAAATAGACATGGGGCCATTAAAGTCAGATGACTCATAGGGAATAGTTAACAAAATAAGCAAATTGCACTGACAGTATATAAAGTGGAACCAATAACTCTTCTTCTGTCCAAACAATAGTGCTTACTTCTGACAAAGAAATTTACTCTGAGCTTTGTTTTATTTTGTGTGTGTCTGTGTGTCTGTGTGTGTGTGTGGGGGGGGGATTCTTGTCCTGTAAATAAATTTCACTCTAATTCTGCTGAAGAGAAATCACCAACTGCTTCTACTTTTCTAGGTATACAGTCTCATTCATACCGCATTTAATGAATGCATCATCTTTTTCTAAACTTAAGTCAAAGGAGATGGTTTAGGCCTAGGAATCAACCAGCTGATGTCATCTACATAGAATGAGGAGTACCCATTTTTCCAAAACCTACCTATYGTGAAACAAATATATCAAATAATGTCAACAGAAACAAATCAAGACTAAGTCTTGGGGGGGGCGTTTTCTCAAAACAATCTTTTATGCTCCCCCCCCAAAAAAACCATTTTATACTATAATTACAAAAAGAAACTGTACCACTTCCTTACAACAAATCTACAATTGTAACAGTAGATAGAAGTTATATCCTTATGGGGCTGGGGATGTGGCTCAAGCGGTAGCATGCTTGCCTAGCATGCATGGGGGCCCTGGGTTCGATCCTCAGCATCACAAAAAAAAAAAATAAAAATAAAGATGTTATGTCCACCGGAAACTAAAAAATAAATATTTAAAAACTTTTCTCTCAAAAAAAATTAGTTATATCCTTATAATTAAATGTAGTATCATTTTTAGAAAACCCTGAGCTGTCAATCTTTGTATCCAAATATTTCAATTAAAATGTCATATTTAGCATATTTAGTTAATGCAGGTTGTCATTCAGTGTGCCTATACTGCCCTCCCTTCTTGATTTAACAGCCCCTTGATAATATTCAGTGATGACAAAGCCCCTTCCCTTAACTCCAGGGGGTTAAGCTCCAATAGTCTAAACCAACACTGGTATTTTACTCCTTTTGATTTAGAAGTGGGCAGAGAAGTAATGCAATTTTGGCTAACAAAACACTAAGGGGCATCTGTTGGGAGGCTGTGGGAAAGGCTTTCTTGCATTCAAAAAGAGCCACAAAGAGGACAAAGGCCTTGTTCCCCATCCTTTTTGAAAGATGTGATAGTTAGGGCTCTAGTAATAAAAGACAGTCAAGGTGGACTGGGGAGGGGCACCCTGGAAGGAGAATTCAGACCTTCCCTGAGGTTGCTGAGTTTTAAATATAGTCTTAGGAGGGCTTTCCCTCCCTCCAGACTTACTGTTGAACAAATAACAGTATCAGRAACTAGCAAATTCAACTATCCAAATCTTAAAAACATTTATTTTAAAGAAATACTGTAATAACAATTCATTTAAAAATCTGAAATTTTAAGAAATCAGTGTTTCCTAAGAAGAATCTCCATTTTTTAAAAAAAAATTGTTTAAAATTATTTCCATCTCAATATTGATATGCTAATACTTACTATATGATAGAAATGAGTACCTTTGCAATACCAAAAAGTGGTGTACAAGGAAAATTATCCTTTTTTGCTGGTTCATATTTGAATATTCCACAAAATTATTTTAGGTGGTTTGCACTATATGAAACACAAACTGAGATAAAATATGTAAAATGCTTAGGATTTCTTTCAACTGATGTCATTAATCTAAACTGAAAACTGCTATTCTAATATTTAGGCAACACCAATTATTAATCATATAAAATTATTGAAATATTTWAACAATAAAACATTCTCCCACTGAGTGCTCACACAGTTTTACACCTATATGAACATTTTTAAAGAAAATAACTAATTAATCAAGGAACCACAAATGTTTGTATTTAGTGTAAAAACTATTAAAACATGTTCAACATCACTGAATATCATGGAATTGTCAATCAAAACCATGAGTTGTCACCTCCTACCTGGTTAGGACTACTGTTATCAAACAGTCAAAAGATACAAAGTGTTAATGAAGATATGAAGAAAAGGCAACCCTTGCACTCTGCCGTTAGGAATGTAAATTAGTACAGACACTGGGGCAAACAGCATGGATGCTCAAAGGTAAAAGCTGAACCACAATCTAATCCAGCAATTCCACTTTATGGATATGTTCTAAAAGAAATAAAATTACCTCATTAAAAGCATATTTGTCCTTCCATTTCATAAAAGAATTATTCATAATAGCCAGGATATAGAAACAATTTAAGGATTCATCAGCAGAAAAATGGATAAAGAAAATCAGAGGTACACACAGGAATATTATTCAACCTTAATAAAGAAGAAATCCTGTAATTTGTGACAAGGATGAACATAGAGAACATTATACTCAGTGAAATAAGCTATACACAGAAAGACAAATACCACATAGTCTAACTGATATTTAAAAGTGAAATAGAACTCATATTACCAGGAGCTGGGCATGGAGGAAAATGTGAAATACTGGTCAAAGGGTACAAACTTTTAGTTATAAGACCAATGTAAAGCATCGTGAGTACAGTAAATAATAAGGCATTACAGAGTTGAAATTCTTTAAAAGAATACATTAAATGAAATGTTCTCATTTCACACATACACAACGCTATCCATGTGAGGTAACAGATTTATTAATCATCTTGATTGTGGTAATGACTTCACATTGTATGCATATATCAAAACATCACTTTGTACACCTTAAATATATACAGTTTTGTCAATTATGCCTCAATAATGGCTGGCAGAGACTTTTTWAAAAAACTATTACAATGACAAGGAAAACACTGGGATTCCCCACTATGAAGGAGAGAGGAAAGGAGGGGGCGGGAAGACAAAAGAAAAGGGCAAGAGAAAGGGGAAAGGAAGAAAAATATTATGACTCAATAAGAATCCAAGACATTAAAAACAATTAATTGGAAGAATTAGCTTACCAGGTAAATTCTTAGTCTTTCTAGGCAGCAGCACTTCTCAAATAGTGATATAACACTGTCTTGGTCAAGCTATTTCTCCCCCCACCTTTGGTGCTGGGATGAAACCCAGGACCTTGCAGGTGGTAAATATGCACTTTACCACCAAGCAGAATTTGTAGCCCTTTTTTTTAGCAAATGGTAAACAATTCAGACTTTGTGAATCATTAGGTGGTTGTTTCACAAAGTAAACTAGCCAAACTCTAAAAATCTGAATACTTAAAATAAGTCATTGACATTTATGAAGGGTGTGTTGGCTTGGATATGAGATGTTCCCCAAAAGCTCACTTGTGAGACAATGCAAGAAAGTTCAGAGAAGTGACTGCATTGTGAGTGTCTTAACCCAATCAGTGCATTAATCCCTTGATGAGATTAACTGGGTGGGAAGTAAAGGCAGGCGGGGTGTGGCTGGAGGGGAGATATATATATATATATATATATATATATTTGGGGTATATATTTGTATCTGGCAAGTGGATACTCTGCTTCCTAACCATCATGTGAGCTGATACCCTTTGCCACACTCTTCTGCCATGATGTTCAGCTTCAGCTTGAACCATGAAGAATGGAGCCTGCTATCTATGGATTAAGACCTCTGAAATCATGAGCTCTCAAATAAACTTTTGCTCCTCTACAGTTGTTCTGGTTGGGTCCTTTTAGTCACAGCAGGAAAAAAAAAAAAAAAAAAGCTGACTAAACCAAAGGTATAAGTGCCTAAACCTGCCTGACAAAAATAAACTAGATAACTAGATTCTAAAACAACACCATGGCATATATTCCTCTCATAAAGTGAAGTCAGGAATAATGAAAAGTTTTAATTTGCCTTTCAGATTCCTTGACTTACCGTCTAATGAAAAAGAGAAGAGCCTTGAAATTGTCCTCACTAACTGCATTATTCAATGCCAAATATCTGGGCTGCTGCAACATTACCAGCTGCAGTATTTCAGAAAATCTCCTGCAAATATTCACAGCTACTCAGAAGAAATCTTTGAGTAGCACAAGAATATTGTGCATTTAGTTTTAGATGGACTCAGACATAGAACCTACTACTTGAAACTTTGTTTTAAGTATGTATGAAATAGGATGTTGCACCAAGGATGCATGTAGAAGGAGGCTTTTATGTTACCTGTTCTTGCTTCTCCAACCACTTGTCCACCATTGGGTGACTGGCACTGAGAGATGAGCGAGCATTGTCTCTCTGGAATTGATTAGACCAGTTACTAGTATCCCGTGGGAGGCTTCTGTAGTTTTCATCTTTCTATTCAAAATGAAAAACAAAAAGGCATCTTGTGAAACACCAGACCAGAAGTAGTAGGAGAATGATTCCACATATTTAAAATATTTTTCCAAGTCTATACAAAGTAGCTGATTGAGAACATTACACCCACATTAGACCTCAAAAATGATGTAATGTGCTTAGGTCAGGGAAGTCTAATCTCTCTCTCTCTCT